GGCTAGTCTGCTTATTACACGGCACCCAAACGGTCTTTATCAGCCCATTTTATACATAAAACTGCATGAAAGAGGCTCTCCGCCCATGCCAAGCGTGATTCATTTTATGAGAAACTGTGTAAAAAGGGCTAGTGATGAATGCTGGAGCGCGGGATGTTGGTTGGCAGGAAATGCTAATTAGTAATTGCTAATGAAATAAGGGAGAGTTGGTAAGGGCCGCAAGGTCCCACCCATCACAGTGAATGTCACATCTGGTCCCTAAGAACTTTAGACAGGACTGGACTTGGCGGAATGGGCCATACTTAGGCAAACTGTACAGAGGTCACCTTGTATCTATGTGCGGATGCAGCACATTCGGGGTCCTGGGTATTGTCATTTTAAAACAAACAAACAAACAAACAAAACCCTTTCTTTTCAACCCGTCCTTTTATTTTGGACCCCCTCATGGTATGAGGTTTTAGAAGCCACCCTTTGAACATTGAAATTGGAACGGCTTGCACAGTGGCTTGGTTAGGGATGGGGGAAGGACTCGGCTCTGGGTGATGTTATTTATGTGTTTTCGACCGTGCGTTAGTCTTCACGGCTCTAGCAGATGGCCCTGGGAACTCGTGCCTACACATGAACCAACACGAGGGAATGGCACGGCCCTTGGACTAAAAAAAAGGTACAGAAAGGGGAAAGTATGATAATCGTGTATTGGGGGTAGGGGCAAGGAACAGTGGACAGAGTGGTCAAAGCTTTTGGAGACTTTTTCCTTTTGCTGTTTCGAAGGCTGACCCAGTACAGATGCAGGTACAGAGTGGGATTAAAGTTTGAGCAACCAATTAAATGTGTGTGTGGGAGGGGGCGGGGGGGGGGCTTCAGAAAGGATTCAGGGTTGAATCTCAGTAGGAGAGTGCATGTCTCACTACCGAAATGGCTTCACACGTCAGAAGGAAACAGTATTCCCAGGTCACAATCTGCTTGCAATTGGAAATGAACAGTGAACGAGATAGATGCTTAAAACTTTTAACCACTCTGCTACAATAAGTGCCCAAATGGCCTTTTTTCTGCAGCTTTTCAGGAGGGATGAAGAATTTGGTTCCTTGCGTGAAGAAGTCTCTCTAGTCCCTCAATTTATAGAGTCCTCCTTCTTATTAAAATGGAGTGTAGCAGCTCATGCTTTGGGGGGCCGTCTGGGAGATTTCCGTATGCATTGGCTTTCAGCCGAGAGTAAAGAATTGTAAGGTTTTGTGTGTGTAACTGTGATATTTTTTTCTTTAGAGAAAAACAGAGGTGCGTACTACACTATTTAAGACGGCGATCTCATGATGTCTATAATTTACTTGGAAACGCCAGCATGAAAAGGAGTTAAATTACAATATTGATGAGACATGTAATGGGGAAAAGCTGATATGACTGCTTTTGTACACACGCACACACACACACACACGCACACACACACACACACACACCGTCTTACACACAGACACCGACACCCAAATGCCCCTTCCACACACACACACTTTTTTATTTTGCCCCCTGAAAAGCTTCCTTGAGGAACCTTTTCCGTTTCGCCAAACAAAACCAACATATGCACTGGTGTGATAACTGGAACCCAGTGAAATGGATCGCCCCTGGGATTGTCCCATATTATAATTATTTTACATGAGTTGGGCCTCATAGGTCAGCCCCCATACAAACCCACGGATGAGACATTTTATCATAGCTGAACGGAAACAGTCACCAGTGTCACTATTAGGTACGTGCTGGAATCCTCTCTGCCATGAGAAACATTCTGCACGGTTGCTTCTCCAACAGCGAGAGGAATGCACAGAGTAAACCAGAGATATGTGTATCTTCCCATACAGGAGGGAGGCGCGTGCACTTTTGAGAGCTGGCCACCCACACTGTCCTGTGTTCTCTTCTAGGGTTCTTGAGTACTGGCGACCAAGCAGCCAAGGGCAACTACGGCCTCCTTGATCAGATCCAAGCCCTACGGTGGATTGAGGAGAATGTTGGGGCGTTTGGTGGCGACCCCAAGCGTGTGACCATCTTCGGCTCGGGCGCAGGAGCCTCCTGTGTCAGCCTCTTGACATTGTCCCACTATTCAGAAGGTAAGGAAGGACCTGCACAGTGGACAGGTGACCGCCCAGGGACCAGGAAATAAGCCCATGTCTCCAAAATAACGCGTCCCCACATAGATTTCTTTCCATGTTTTAAAATCGAGATCTAATTGACATAGAACGTGCGTGTGCGTGCGTGCGTGTGTGTGTGTGTGTGTGTGTGAGTGAGTGTGTAGATAAACCTCTATATGCACACTGATCTAGACCCACACTGTTACCTCAGTTGTGGACAAAAGAGTGGTGGGGGGAACGTAACTTCTAGCACCGTTTTTCTAATTCTGATTGTTTTAACTCACACATGTCTTCCATAGCTCCAATACTGACATCATTTCTTTCAGGCGCTTGAAAAGCTTTCATCTTTAGAACCAAACACACCAGTCGGTACTTGCACAGGTCTGATAGAATTATAAGCACCAGGAAGTCGATCCCCAGCTGCCTCGGATGATATTTTGGGCAAAGCCAGAACGATGGGAAGTGTCTGCGTTGTCACTTTTAGGCACTTCTCAGTTCTGGACTCGTAGCTTTTTGCTTTATTCTTCCAGCACCTCCTGACCCCTCAGATCATGTTGGAGTTCAAGGAAATGGCAGGAATGTTATGATTTTGATCACCCGTCATGTCTTGTCCCGTACACGTTCAAATAAAGTTTGTGTTTTTGCTCCTAGGCAGGCTGTTGCAACTGGACATTTTTTAAGCTACACAGAAATGCACTCCTCACAGGTGACTCCTCGCACACAGAAGTATTGCCCAAGAGTTTTCCAGTTTCTCACCAAACAGAGCTTTTCAACATGGGGCAGAATATATTACACACAAATCTGGGCTTTGCATGGATGCAATTTTAAAATTAATGATTTTTTTTTTGAAACACTACAGATTAGCTGGGTGTTCGAGTGAGGATTTCTTTAGGAACAGCCAACTCAATGGATTTATTTGCAAAATTGTGCTTCCTCCAATATATCGAAACACAGGGTGGAACTAGAAATACGCCTTTGAATTTATACTCTGATTTCAGTAGATTTCACCCCACCTCCCTCAGTGAGCTGGTACCTGGTGTGTTCAGTGAGGCAGAATAGCGTTACTAGCCTTTTACCTTCTCCTTGGCAGAGTGGTTTTAGGGAACAGGGGATGTGATTCCTCAGACGGGCTTTGTTTGTAGCATCTGGGATGGAAAAGCGAGCACAACCCCAAATTGTGGGCAGACAAAGAGAATGCATATTTTTACTACCGCTGCTAAAGTGTAAATACAGTGTGCATACAGTTTACTTTTCTTACACAATATGTGGTGTGTGTGTGTGTGTGTGTGTGTGTGTGTGTGTGTGTGTAACAACATCCCTTAAAACCAACATCCAGCGGGAGGAGGAGCGGGTGCGGGGCAGGGGGGTGGCGGGGAGAGCGAGATGGAATCAAGTGAAAGAGACCCTGGCTGAGCCGAGTGCCTCTGTACCCAGAAATTCACATGCCCGCGGCACAATCGGAGCCTTCTTTGCAAAGTACAAGCCGCGTTTCTGTCTTGCGGGGTTTCATTTGCATGTGCACAATTTTGCACCTGCAGGTTTGTTCCAGAAAGCCATCATCCAGAGTGGGACGGCCCTGTCCAGCTGGGCAGTAAACTACCAACCTGCCAAGTACACTCGGATATTGGCAGATAAAGTCGGCTGTAACATGCTGGATACGACGGACATGGTGGAATGCCTTCGGAATAAGAACTACAAAGAGCTCATTCAGCAAACCATCACCCCCGCCACCTACCACATTTCCTTCGGGCCCGTGATCGACGGCGACGTCATCCCAGACGACCCCCAGATCCTGATGGAGCAAGGGGAGTTCCTCAACTATGACATCATGCTGGGCGTCAACCAGGGCGAGGGCTTGAAGTTCGTGGATGGCATTGTGGACAATGAGGACGGCGTGACCCCCAACGACTTTGATTTCTCCGTGTCCAACTTCGTGGACAACCTGTACGGCTATCCGGAGGGCAAGGACACGTTGCGGGAGACCATCAAGTTCATGTACACGGACTGGGCGGATAAGGAGAACCCCGAAACGCGACGGAAAACCCTGGTCGCCCTCTTCACCGACCACCAGTGGGTGGCCCCCGCTGTGGCCACGGCTGACCTGCATGCCCAGTACGGCTCTCCCACCTACTTCTATGCCTTCTACCACCACTGCCAAAGCGAGATGAAGCCCACCTGGGCGGACTCGGCCCACGGTGACGAGGTGCCCTATGTGTTTGGGATCCCCATGATCGGCCCCACCGAGCTTTTCAGCTGTAACTTCTCCAAGAACGACGTCATGCTCAGCGCGGTGGTCATGACGTACTGGACGAACTTCGCCAAAACCGGGTAGGTGCTCCCTCAAATCGGGGGATTGCCAATGCTCAGCGTGTCGGGCTCCTCTGTGTAAGGGTTCTTTCTGTGACCGAGGAGACCACAGTAGGCAGGCGTACACATACGCATACACACAATAACAGTCATTTTTCCCCCCCATCTGTGGGGACCTCATTTTTTGTTTAGCCCTAAATTGTTTTCTGTCAAGTCAGATTTTTATTCCAGTGCTAGTTGCGTATTGAGAATTCCATTTGCTACCTGGTGGTGCAGAATTTAGACATATCGGACGATTCCGTTGGAAGCTGATGGTTGAGTTTCAAATCTAAAGAGGGTCTTGTCTTATTTGGTAAATAATAGGGTTATCAAAACGCATGTGCCATATGGTAAATGGGGCTTCTTGTATAGACACGGGGATGAAATAGATCTCATAATAACTATAGTGAAATATTCTGTGTGTGGTGTGTGTGTGTGTGTGTGTGTGTGTGTCCAAGGTCTGCTGGTGTGTGTGTGTCTGTGTGTGTGTCTGTATATACATCTCCGAGGTCTGCTAGTGTGTGTGTGTGTGTGTATACATACATATATACACATATATACACATCATGCATATACATACATACACATATGTGTATATATATGAAATTTATATGTACTTATATACATATGTATAAATTACATATATACATATTATATATATTTATATATATATATATATATATATGTATGAAATAAGTCTCCTAACTGTAGAGAAATACTATGTGTAGTATTTCCCTGTATGTGCAGGCTGTCTAGATAATGTACACCATTTATACGTGTATTTCATCAGTAAATATAAATTTCATATGTATGTGCATATATATCGATATATATTTATGTATATACCAGGGGTCCCAAAACAAGTGAATACACATGACTTGTATGCATCTTTTGTCGTCAGTATATATCGAGTCTTACGATTTTAAAACAGCTTTTGCCTTCCTTAAAATGTGTGGACGTGTTTTGGCCCCTCGTGGGCTAAATGTGTAGAAAATGGGCAAGACCTCCACAGGCAGCAGACCCCTCAAAAGCTGTGCAGAGCGATTATCTGCAAACCATCAAGACCAAGGACTCCCCGGCATCTGAAGTAGCTACGCATGTCGTGGGCTCCCTTCACTCTCTCTCGTGGACTCACCGAGCTGTGGGTTCTCCTGTCATTCCCCTTGAGCCTGTGGGACTGAACTGAAGATGAAGGCGCTCACGGCTCCGAGGGACAGTAGCGTTCCCTCTAACCTTCCCGTGGCGTGCCAAAGGGCGGGGTTTGGCTCTTGCGGCAGCTCACGGAGCCTGAGCCCTGGTCAGCTCTAGTGAGAGACAGCTTTGGGGGGTGCTGAGGGCCCCTGTGCTTAGGGCTTAGCAGCTGTCATTCCTCATGATTCCAAATGGTTTCTGTTTTTTTCGTTAGCTGGGAAGCGGTTTCAGAGTGCTGTGCAGCCTTAACACGAGTGCAGCACGTTTCCTGAGTGGAGCGTGTGTTGCCTACATCCCCACGTTGAACTCTCAGGTGTTACACATTTGGTCTAAGGAAGACCGCCCTGGGGAGAGGGGGACGGAGAAGCTACAAACCCTTGGGACACAGGCTTACCTACCACAAGAGTTTCTTAGACGAGGAGACGATCGAAGTCGAGCCAACCCCTGTTTTTGAGTAACCCTTGTTTCTGGGATTCCTAGGGCTGCTGTGACAAACGGCTGCAAATGGTGTGGCTTGAAACACTAGGAATTTACCATTTCACAGTTCTGGAGGGGAGACGTCCAAAATGAAGGACTCAGCAGGGCCGTGCTCCCCCCGAAACGCGTAGGGCACTCTCCCCATGCTTCTTAGCTCCTGGTGGCTTGCTGGCGGTCCCTGGTGTTGTGTGTCATGTAGCCACTTCCCTGCAACCTCTGCCTGTGTCATGACATGGTTGGTCCCCCGGTGTGTGTCTTTGTCTTTCCATGGCCATCTTCTTATAAGGGCACCTGTGGTATTGCTTTAGAAGCACATCCTACTTTAGTGTGACCTCCTGTGAACTTGACCAATTCCATCTGCAATGACCCTATTCCCCAATAAGGTCATGTCAGGATTTCAGCACATCTTAACTTAGGGGAGAGGGATTCATCTCATAACCTCTTTTAAAGGCAGGACTGTGCTCAGTTGTGGCACAGAAATAAGCTATGTGACGTCTGTCTGCCCTTGCAATATTATGCATTCTCGTGAAGCAAAACAACTCACAAAGGCGTTTCCCAAACCATTGCCCTCTGGGTCCGTTCATGCCGCCATCACCCAAACATGTCATCCTTTACTTAACATCTAAACACTATGTCATTACTTTTGTTCAAACCACATATTTTTCCTTTCCATGTGTTAGAAACAAACTTTATATGATGTTCTTAAGTGGAAAGCTAGTATCATTCATCATCGATTTAACGGAACCATGAAAAAAGAAAACAAAAAACCTGTGAAATCCAAACAAAGCCCTTAAATTCTTGTTTGCTTTTCTGCCTGCTGGAGGCTCTGAAGCTGATGTTCTCTGTTTGTTTAAAATGAGAGAGAGAGAGAAAAAGGGATGGGACGCATGGGGAAGTATCAATGAGCCCAAACCCTCAGGTAGGGATCTCGCTATGGTAACAGGACATGCATGAGGGAGGGCTTTGGGGGTCAGTTGGAAGAATCTGAACTTTATGTGAACAGGGGCTATTTTTGTTCCTGCAGAGTCCGTGGGAAGCAGAGCTGGATTAAGACGTGGGGCTATTAATGCACTGAGTTGTCATAATTCACTTGTAAAGGTCATTGGAGTGACTCAGATCACTTTCAAAGGAAGCCACTCCGATATGAGTACTAAAGAATACCATTTCAAGGGCAGCTGGTTTCACAGTGAGGTGATGGGCTGAGTCTAGTGATGTAGGTGTTTGTCAGTGAGTGGCAAGGGTTTTGGAGGTGGCTGCTAGTTATTTATGTTAAATAGGGGAGTGGCATGACCAGCCATGTGCAGAGGACTTCCTTGTCCCCAGGGAGCTGCCTTCATGGTCCAGGTGAGGACAGTGAGCCAAAATGGTGTCAGTATGGGGACAGCGTAGAATAAACCATATCTGATGCCACTGCGTGAGGGGAGATGGCCAACTCGGCTCTCCACCTACGCGGGCAGTGACCCCCAGAATAGGATGGGACACGTGTGAGTACCAGCAACTAGAGACAGGAGTTTGATTTAAAAGACTATCTCACCCTACGCCTCTGACAACACGTTGCCGTGGAGACAGGACCAGGTTGTCCCAGGACACGTGTTGCCATTTCCATCTGGTGGAATTCCACATCTTCTCACAAACAGCACCCTGACATTTCCAAGGATTTGTACGTTTGCCAAGATGGAATGGGACCCGGTGTTTCTTTTCATACACCTTTAAAGCGAACAAATCTGACCTTACATCTAGGTTGAAATGGTCATCTGTCTGGCGTGCCAGCTTTTTGTTTTTGATTTGGATTTTTGTTGGGCACAGAAAAATGATGTTGAATGTGAATGTGGACAGCATGGAGAGAAAGAGAGAGAGAGAGAGAGAGAG